CTGCCTTTGGCTTTTCATCTGGGAGAGGCTGTTCATGACAAGACGAGGAAGAGATATGAGCATGTTTATAGGTTACTGGAGAAGAGCCAGTAAAAACAGACTGAACATCAAGAAAAGAGGATGGAATTAAGCGCACAGAAAAAGAATGACTCTAAAAAGAGGAATACCTACATTTCTCTATGAGTAGTACTAAGGAAGGAAAGATGACTATGAAGATATAATTGGTGGACGTAGAGGAAAGCTTGTGCAAGATCATTTTACCTGTTGGTATCTCTGGCCACATCTTCGTAGACGCTCTGCACCCCAATCTCCAGCCTTGTACAGCCATAGGTCAACATGTCACTTAAATGCCGCTTCATGCAATAATCGGGTCTAGTCTCAATAGTAATTCCAATACACTTTGTGAGGCTCCTCTCAGAATACCTGTAAAGAAAATCTAAAGTGAACCACCTGCCAGTTTTGGGACGTTTGCTCCCATTTAAAGGATTGTCTCCTCTTTGTCCTCCCAGTATAAGACAGTGGTTAAGAGCTCGGGCTCTGGAGCCAGACTGTCTGAGTTCAAATCCTGGCTCTGCTGCTTCCTAACTATGCAAACAGGAATGCTATTAACAGCCTCTCTGCTTTGGTTTCATTAGCTGCAAAATGAGGACAACAGTACCTACGCCTCATAGGACTGATGTGACCAAACTAGCATACGGCAGTGTTATCATTATCATTATTATTCTCCTGCAGTATGCTGCAACCATAATCTCCTGGAAAGCAGTGATTTCAACTGTGAAAATCCTATTTTTCAATTCCTAGCAATGGTTTTTCATATAAGTGAAAACCATCTGCATTACTTATTTCCCACTCAATATTTTTGTCATGTTAAATAAAAGGAAAAAAAAGGGGTGAGGGACTGTATAATAATCATAGGAATAATTTGGATGAAATGTCTTCTACATACAAAAAAGGTCTTTCTGCCAAGTCTTTTCATCGTAGCAGTGATTTACAAAATTAGCAATCTTATTTTTCTTTCACTAAAGCCAGATATCAGG